ATTTAAAAAAAAATTTCCTTAAATCTAAAATCTACATAAATAAATATCCAACGGCACGCGACGCTGTATTCAAAAGCATCCGAAAATAGATCGACACGCCATTTATCGCAGTGTGCGTGATCAGCGGCAGTCGCAACTCAAACCCCACGGTCGACTTGCGTATCGACCAATGGAAATGACCCCCTTTTTTGAAAGTGGAATAACACTTTTCGCAATAGCCACTTGTGTTTGAAACACTTGCAGATCTTCACGCTATTGTGAAGATAGTTCACGGACATCAGTGAACACTGGATGTTCGTCAGGAAATGAGACTTTGAGGATATTGCATACGAAAAAACTTTTTTTTTTTTTTTTTTTTCAAATTTCATTACCGTTAAATCATTTTCAGTTAGTTTTGTAACATCAGAGCTAAATATCATACATTTTGACGTATAAGCCGGTTTTCCCCTGGAAAAGGGGAACGTTTAAAATGTCTATGCACTTTTTATGTGCCGACTGTAAAATATCGTTATGATATCTATTTATATTTACTTACAAAGTTGATGATTATATTGGAAGAAAATCTGACCATATGACTTCCTAGAACGGTCTATTAAATTATACACATTTTTTGCTTCACTTCATTTAAACTTATTTTTTCGAATTATTCTAATTTAATTAACCGATTCCTCAAGGCAATTTGAAAATGATGAAAAATTGCAAATTTTTGAAATTAAAAATCCCGGTCAGTTTTTGTCGTATAAGAGTCAAACTTCTGCAAAGTTCATTTCTTCATAACCAAAATAAAACGTTCCCAAATAAAAGTATAGGAAATGTGAGACCGCATTAAAAAAAGAATTTCTTTATGTGTCCAACATTAATTATTTTTTTTAATTTGCCGTTGCCAAAACATGAATATTTTCGTCATTTAAAACACTTCTGTAATAGGAAAGGTATGATTATGACTAACGATTGCGAAATTGAAGACCGGATGACAGCCTTTAAGCCGGGTAAGGGGAATGGATATATATTTATATATATAAACAAACGTAAGGAAAGACTGTTAAGAATCCTGCGATGATTTAATTAAAACATAATCATAAGAATGAAAGGGGAATACTCCTATTATAATTCCTATATTTCAAAGGAAAATTAAGAAAGCCAATAAAGAAAGTTAAGAATAACAATTTGAAGTTTAGATAAATTCTAATTAAAAAATCGTAATTTTGAAGTAATATATAAAGACAATAGAAAAAGTAAAAGTTTTTTGAAAATTTTTAAAAAGTTTTAGAAATATTTTTTTAAGTACTTTAAATAGTAAAAAGAAAAGCGGTAGTTGGAAAAATTGCTCTGCAAGCAATGGCTAATATTTGTGGGCATGCATAAAACTGAGATGCAAAAACTGTTAATAATAATTGTAGCCATTTAAAGAAGATTACCTAAAAATAAACAACTGAAAGGACAGCTAAACAATACTGACGCTTCATGTGGAATTAGCTTATTTCACACTCTTTCCAACCGTTCAGACATCGTGTTTCGTCCTTGCTATGCATATGCAAATCAAAAATAGAAATGAAATGAAACGTAAATATTTAATCCCCCAAATTTAGTAAACTCATATACATATCAAGAATTCCCCTAGACGATGTAAATCAATTTGAAAATTATTTGGAACATTATATAGATTGGAAAACGTTATTTAAATGCTAAAAAAACATTTAGAACAAAACCCAAGAATCGAATAAATGATGCTATCAAAACATGTTAAAATGTGTTGATCAATGTGACTATCTTGATTTTGCAAATTATTTATCATCACACCATTAAAAATGTTTGGCAAAAGAAGAAATTTTAAGTTCACTACTATTAAATTTGTCAAGTGGAACTCCAATATTTCAAAAAAAGTAATAGAAAAATTACTTTTATTACCAAAAAAGTACTTTTATCACTCAAATTAAAAGAATAAGGAATATTTGTACAGACAATTCAAAATATTAAAAGTGAAATATCCTTACTAATTAGCACACTAAAGAATAACCAAGTATCTACTGAATTTATTAATTTTTATCTCAAAAAGGCAGGCATTAATTTAAAATTTTAATCTTTTAGTATAAGAGATATGAAGGCTATATCCGAAACTTTTAATGATTAGATTGGAAGATTTGTACAAATGTAAAATAGTGCGATGTACAAATTTGTAATGTTTTCCTTCTGGCATCTAAGCTTTTACAAATTCAGAGCCAATTTATTTTCTCAAGTAGCAATTGCATTTCGTATTACGTGAAGATTTTTATCTTTGTCTATATAATATTTTCTGTTTTGTGACTTTTAAACAGAAAATTTAAAGATAAATTTACTTACTTATTCGATTTAATAGCTAGCCGTACTTTCTAGCCATGCCATAACTATTATTTTTACCAGCCTAATTTTTGCTGTCCTTTTAAACCTGGCAACTGCAGGCAAAAACACCTGCCCTTGAAATTAAGGAAAAAATCTCGTTCATTATTCTTACTAGCACACCGTATAGAGTAAGTATTTGGTTTCTAATTTATTCTAACTTATATTTCCTTGTACGAAGTAAAAAGGAAGTATTTGTAATCGCGAAAAGTTTCAGGCAGCATATTTCAACGAAAATATTCATTTTTAATGTGAATTATTATTGCTTTTAAATGAATTCTGAAAAGAATTTTTCGTTGCGTCAGTACGTACGTATGTATCGTGCATAACTCAAAAACGAGTAGCCTCAGAACGTTGAAATTTCGTATATAGGACTGCTATAACATGTAAAAGTGCACCTCGTATTTTGGTAGCAATCGGCCGCACCAAACGTATATGAAATATATATATATATATATCCACTTTGTTACCCGGCTCAGTGATCTCAGTTTCTTTGCTCTTATATGCTTGTAAATTGTGCATTTTTTGCTTTAAAAATGATTGAATTATGTTGTTCTTATCTACCGGTTAAGGTTTTTATGCCTTTAGTAAATCTTCATGCAATATTATTAGAGTTATCAACAATTTAAAATTTGTTTAAGTTTGGCTAAGCCTACTTATTTTTGCGTTGGCGGCGATGTTTATTTACATTTGAAACTTGGCAGAATAACGGATTTGTTTCCAATCTAGAGAAACGAAGCTTCGCAACAACAAAGATAACGCCTTCTTTTATTATTGCGAATTACCTCATGCTTAATCCATTCTAGAATTTATTCAAGGAAATAAGTGTTTAAGGTTTACTTCATAATTTTTAATATAGATATTTTGAGGTTTTATGTATTTTTGCCTTGTCGCCAAGTGAGAACTAAATTAATTGAATGAAAAATACTCAATCGTCTGTGAAAAACTGTTTCTTTTTTGTTTTGTTTGTCTGATTTCTTTTATTCATCGTTCTAGTATTTGAATAGAACATGCAGCAACGATTAGATAATTCTTCAAATGATATAAATTTTGTGCATTCTGAGTTATAATATGAACGAAATAAAACGCTGTTAAGTGAACCTAGCGCCAGAGTGTCGCTATGGTAAACAAATATAGTGAATTTTAAAGAGTGCATTTATTCTATTGTGGTTTGTGCGCTATCGACGAAGTAGATTTAATTCAATCCAATAAAGTTTAAATGAAATGCAATAAAATGGGTATAATTTAATATTCCACACAAGGAAGTCATGTGGTGTACACATCAGATTTTTTAAATATATGACAGTTACATTTAATTGAACATTTTTGTAATATAACGAGTACTCCTTTTGTTTACATTTACATTACCATGCTTTATTTACATATTTTTAACATGTTTTGACAGCATTATTGATTTGATTCTTGCATTTTATTCTAATTTTTTAGCATTTAAATAACGTTTTTTAATTTATACAATGTTCCAAATAATTTTTTAATTGATTTACATCGTCTAGGGAATTCTTGATATGCATATGAGTTTGCTAAATTATGGGGAATTAAATATTTACGCTTCATTTCATTTCTATTTTTGATTTGCATATGCATAGCAAGGACGAAACACAATGTCTGAACTGTTGGAAAAAGTATGAAATCAGCTAATTCCGCCTTAAACTTTACAATGCGTCAACTCGACGAAACTACGCCTCTTCTTGGCCGGTAACTGAAATTAAGATAACGAAACTAAAAATTTCAAGACATGTACAAGCAATAGTGCTACGCTACAGGGCCCAGCTAAATCCCGTTTCTTAAACCCCCTTCAAAAACTAATGGCAGCATGCAATTTAAGGCACGCGAACCAGCAATAACTCTGGGAGCAAATGCTTAAGCAGCAATCTCAATAATTATTTGCACTCCCCAACACAAGCCACATGCCAATGAGCCTATTAATCGTAAAATCTTTCCTATCCACTTTTTGCTTTAGTGTTTGTACTGTGTATAAAAAATTATAAAAAACCAAAAAAAGTATAAAATATAAAATACAAAAAAAATTTTAAAAAACCTAAAAACTTATAAAAAAATTATGAAACTTAAGTTTTTTATTTTCTCATCTCTATCCCTAAACTTTCTCGAGCCTGTGGCTTCCTCTAGTGTGCATCAAGTAAATCACTTATGCCAAATTTTTCTTATTTCTGCTCGCTTTTAGTAATTCTGATGTGGAGGTAGATGGTTTTGAACCGTAGGAACTCCGAAATTTTTAAATCATTGGCATTGGCTTAAGCAGCAGAGGTGACGGCAAATAGCCTAACTCTCCCTCTTTTCTACTGAAACTCGGTTTTTAAACTCTTTCTTAAACGTAAAATTTGCATTCCTTGACGCGCGCTACCAAATTTAAATATTCTGGCACTGATAATTAGAGGAATGAAGGTTTATAGGAATAGCAAATTAAATAAAATTGGTTATTTAAAAAACAAATATAAATTCCTAGAAGCAATAAAATTATTCCCCAAAATGCGCTAAATAGGAAAATTAATAAATAAGAGCAGTAGAAAAATACACAACCAATATGCAATAAAATAAATAGTATTGCATGTAAATATTCAACAATATGTTTTCTTTTTCAACAGGTATTTAAACTTATTCTACGACTCTTATCAAGATGTCCTGGAGGACAAAGTGCCCGTTCCAAGCGACGGCGAAGACATGGTCGCAAATCCACTACAAGCCTATCAGCTGGTCAAGAGACTGGCCGTCGATTGGAACTTTATCAGAAGTGCCATGTCCACTGATGACTGGTTTCGTAAGTACTTCATCCCTTCGGTCTAAAGTTTTGATCTAAAATCTTGCGATTCGATTTCTTAAATATTTCATATTTATGAACTGTACTTAAGCAGGGGTGGATGTGGTTGGTCTAATCTGCGCGAACAGTAGGAAAAAAAGCATTAGGACATTTTCAAGTTGCCCACCGTTCGCCAAAGTGCAGGGGTGCCACGGCTTCAAGGCACAAAGGTTCTGGCACCATTACGAAGCTCAGTATCATAAGGAAAACAATCCTTGTCAAGGGTGCCAGGACACCCGTGAATGGTCTTAAACTTGGCGAACATTGGCTTACTTGCACACAGGTATCGGTATTTTTATAAGATTTTACGAAAACCTGCGGTTAGTAAGACATCCAGAAAACAAATTATACTTATTTTCTTTTATTATATTACCAGAAGATTTATTACGTTAATGGATTATTCCATCAAATTATGCAACATTACCAGAACAATGCACCGATGAGGTCCTGAAGAAGATTTAAAATATCCCTCGAGGATCGTTACTGTCAACTTTAAACACATTGAAAAGCAGTTCAAGCGATCCTATCTGCCATCAGCCAATTGAAGCAGTCCTATTTTTTTTATTTGTCAATAGTCACAAGTTTTTCTACTATAATCGAATATAAAATAACACCGATAACCATCCCTATTTTTCATTCACAGCACTGTTTTAATGTCTTTGAGCATGGCCAGAAATTTGGTCCTAGCTGTTGGCAAATCGCCGCCACAATTCAGCACAGTGGCGGAGTATCATCACGGGTGTTGTTCATCTCATACTTGTTCAACTATTTGTTTAAGGTGATTCAAGATACATTCTGTCGTCTCAGTGTTGGCTCTTCTCCGTATTAATATTCATAGTACGATCAACAAAATTTCGTCTGATGATTTGCTGTCAGGTGAATGTATCACGTGACTCCTCCTCGTAACCAAAGGCAAATACAGGGTAGATTAACCTGTTTGTGATAGATACGGCCTAGTAGGTCACTTGCTGCGAGGATACCCTAATGACTATTATTGCAGTAAATTTTAATTGTTATAATCATGCAAGTATTACTTTTATAACATTTAATGCGTTATTAGATTAAGTATTAAATATTGTAACTTATCTCAAATTGTATTAACTTTTGTATTCATTCAATGCATTGTTAAATTAAGTATTTATTGTTATAATTATATCAGCTGTTAACTGATTGCTAATTAGAATAAAATTTGACTTAGTATTTGAGTAATGCAGTGTAATTTGACGAACGTTTTAACAAGATCATTTTCTCAATGTAATTTGACAAACGAAATTAAAACTTATAATGCAAGTATTTCACATTTGTAACAGAATCTTTTGAATCTAAATAAGTGTAGAGGGCGAATAGGTTATTTCAGGCTTTAACATAAATAAATTCTGCACACAAAGCGTTAGGTGTTTTACAAAACATTAAAAGTGGAGCAACACTGTTGGCTCAGGATTAGTTGAAACTGACACCGTTTTTTACCCCCTTTTTTTAATACTGAGATACTATTAGTCATCAAACTCACCTTCTGCCCATATCATTTTTGTGTCCCTATTACTAAAATTCTCGGAACTAAATAAATGAACACTGTCATGTATTATTTAAAACAATTTAGACGAATTTGTATGCATGTAGGTAGATAGGTTCTTCGCATTGTGGGAAAACTAGGGTACCTAGCGCCACCGAAATTTGAATACTCGCAGTCCTCCATCTGAACATAAGCACGTCTGAGTCGAATTTGTTTCGGATTTTTTTTTTTTTTTTTTTTTTTTTTTACAAATTTAACGAATTTTTGTTTAACAAACTCAGCGATTTGAAAGCAAAAAGTAGCAACACTGTTTAAAATAACACATTTGTATCTCCAGTGCGCCAGACAATTGCCATTCGGCAAAGTGTATGATATTTATCATTCAGTTTCAGTATACAAGTTCGGTAATTTCAAATCAATGCATTGCCGCTGCCTCAAATGGAATACTTATCATATCCATTCAGCATATTAAATATTTCTGTTACTGAGAAACAAACCAAGTGACTGAAAACAATAAACGCAATTTTTAAAAATATTTTTTAAGAATGTTTTTGTTTGAAACCAATAAATTCTTAAAGTTCTAGAGTAAAATGTTAAACAAAATTTTGGATCAGGATTTGAAAAATTCGTATTACTTCCTCCCACTCAAGTAAGAAAAGAAAAAGATAGACGATTTCATAGACTTTTATTTTATTACTTTTTATTATTTATTAGTTATCTTATTTTTTTCTATTCGCTAGCTATTATTTTCAAGCTTCTAGTTGTGGTCAATTTCCACCAGAATGCACATTAATTTAAAGCATAAGTATATGTCAAGTTTCAAAGTTAAGCGGAACTGGGAAATATTACATTATGTTTTATTTAGACCCTCAGGACAGTCACCTAAACGTGAACTCTGCTAAAAAGTCATTGACCCATGATTAGATTTCGGACATAATTATCAGAGAATTTCAAACTTGTCTATTGGATTTTAACCACTAAAATGGAGATGTCAAGTAATTCATGGAAGCTACGTGTCTCTCGAACATCCCGAACAGAAAACATGACATTTTGGACTTCATTCTTACAGCTTTCAATATTCTAGTGACTTTCTAGTCCAATCACGGACTTATCTTCGGATGTGCCAGTCCTCTCCAGTTTAGATGCAACTACGCAGAAAGATTCGCCATTTAACTGGAAACTATTCCACAACAAAACTCTATCTTCAGCTTTTAATGCTGGAAATTTAAAAACAGTCAGCGATATAAATGAGGCTTCATCAAATTTACTTCCAGAATGTAGGATTTCTGAAACCAAGTCTTGATCATAATAGATGAGAAGTTTACGCATGGATAGTTAGTGACTCACATCAAAGAAGTTATTACCCAGAGAAACAAGCTCATGAACTGTACAATAGAACATCCAATCCAGCCCTCAAAGTAGAAATCCGTAGATTTACTAGAAGCCTGTTACTTATTATAGAGAAAAATGTAAGGGTCTCAATGAAGAAAAGCATTCCTCTAAAAGCAGTCGATTCAAGTAAAAGGTTGGGTATCCCTTGGACCGAGCAATCCGATCCAATCCGATCCACATTTGTTTTCGGGCAATTACGTTTTTGAAATTTTTTTTGAGAAAATATTTGCTAGATATTAAAAAAAATGGTGTCAGATCTGTTTTTCACATATATTGCTCTTTACATTCTTCAAAACGTATTCAGTATAATGACTATGTTCAAAATTTCTCTAAAAATAAAATGTTTATTTGAGAATTGCTAACTACAAACTCACATAATTTTTTTAGACGTTCAAAAGAGTGCTTGATGTATTTGCAGATTATGGTTATTATTAGTTTTAATGTTTTTTACCTTTTTTTTTTATTTTAAATGAAAATATATCTATATCACAGTATGAAACTATTGATTCTTCAGCAAAATACTACATTAGTAATTTCAGTTTTGAATTAAACATTCATATTGTCTGAAGGTTAATCATTGAATGGAACTTAATTCAAAAATCTCAAATCAGTCGACTCAAAACAATCATCCACTCTCAAATTTTGTCTCAATACTAGTAAATTCCCGATTATCTAACGAGTCGAACAATGTTTCAAATTTAAAATGACGAATCAACGTCAATGTTTCAAATTTAAAATGACGAATCAACGTATCTGTTGTCCTGTCCAACGTTTCAACATTGTATTCAATCCCCAATCATATCTCTCGAATAATTTTTTTAATGTGTTGATGTTAATACTATCCCCTTGAGCGCACGGACAGAACTAAAATTTTTTTACTGCTCTCTCTCTCTGACTGTTTTTGATTACTCTCATTTTGGAAACATTATTTATAATCTAAGAGTGAATTTTTGTTTTTGTTTTTGTTTTTAAATTTTGCTAACAATCTAAGAAGGAATTTTTATTTGTTTCTTAAATTTTGTTAGCAATTTAAGACTGAATTTTTATTTAAGCTTTAGTAAAAATTGAAAAGTGGATTCTTATTTCTGTTTCTTCAACAAGTTTCTTCAACAATTTAAGAGGGAATTTTTGTTTACTTTTAAGTTTTGGTTACAAAGTGAGTTTTCCATTTAGCTGTCCGCAAACTGATTCGTGACTATCGTCAATTGATGCCTAATAAAGACGACCTCCAGGGGGCAGCGCTGGCGCTGGTTCGTTTGCAGGACACATACAAACTGAATATGACGGATGTCGCAAGAGGAGATGTTCTAGGAGTACCGCAGGGAACCACGCTGACCGGTACGTATTTGTAATGTCAAATTTTAGATAATTGTTTAAATCCATTCCCTACAGCAAAATAGTTCAAAACTTTTTCAGCATGTAGCTCTGAAATTATTTAGTTTAGTAATAAACGATTCTAATTATTACGATCAAGACTGAAGTTGTAATAATGATTACGTAGATATACTCCAAACTAAGCCAGTCTTAATGTATTTGGAACTGGGCGATTTTTTTTATTATCCTGAGTTGAAAACCAAAACTAGCGAAGTCAAGAAAATTTAACGTTGAAGCTACAGTGTTTCATGGTCATCGTAAAGCTTTGCGGTGTCACTTTGCAAAGCATAAGATATTTGTATTTCAAATTTAATCACAAAAGTCGGCAATATAAAAGAGGTGTGTTGTATTCGCAATATATTTGTCTTTCGAATACAACTCGATGATTTTAAAAAAATGTGTTGCCACTGCTTGAAGCAAAGTATTTTTATCTTCCACGTGGCAGGCTTCTGTTGTTCGGCAACGCATAAGACATTTCACTTTTTTTTTTTTCAAATTTATTCTATTACTTATTAACAAACTAAGCGATTTAAAAGCAATAAATGCAGATTCATTGCAGTTATTATTAATTACTAACTGGACATGTAAAATGATACAGCTAGATTCATTAAAATCATCTGTAAAGAAAAGTGCCCACTTGTTTGTGTGTGTAATTCATACAAATCTACAGTTTTATTCCGATCTTGATGAAAGTTGTTCGATGCACACTTGACTTTCAGAAGCAGTAGAAGGTCAGTGTGTATATAAGGCTTCAGAAAAGAAAAAGCCATGCGGGTTCCACACTCGGTGCATTTATATTAGAATGTTGCACTTACTTTCATCCACCTTAGATTCGCGTCACCATTGTTGCGTTCTCTCTATCAGTGGAAGTTCTAGCTACCAGTGCTAAGCAAGAAATTTATAATTTTTTTTTTCAAAAAATATATATTAATATTTTTATACAATTTCAATTTTGAAATCACGTCACCAATCTTAGGTTTATGTCACTGTTCTTGCCATTAGTTTAGAAAAGTATAGAATGGTCCACAACAGTGTAGAGCCTTATAGCAGAATTTAGATGCATTCTTTATCATTTTTTCAAGAATACTTCAAAAATGATGATGAAATCAACCAAAGTGGATGATGATTTTCCGAAAGCTCGTTTCTAGCTTGAGATTTCCATAAAACTAACCTCACTTCTCTAAATTCACTCTGTGGTAAACGCCGTGAAATGATGGGTATTTCAGCTAATCAAGGTAAAATGTTTTGCGCAAGATCACTTTTTGTGTTTTAAAAAATCTTGATTATTCGGCTCGTCGCCTTTCTGTATTCGGCGCCCTTACTTCACGAAATACAGTGGAACCTTGGATCATGAACAATTCTTTTAATGATCAATACCTCTGAGCACAAAATGCCTTGGGTGACGTGCGCTGTCTTGAGTTACGAACACTCAAGTGGGCAACACGTAATTTTCAAAGATGTTCTGGTGTAACCTTCGATACAGGATTAAGACTTGAGGTTTTCAAGAAAAATCACTTTAATATTTTCCGTTACTTAACAACGCCTGGCAGCAAGCGATTTACAGAATCATAAATTCAGGCTGGAGGAAATTGAAGCCACAGACTGTATTTTGAGGCTTTGGGTGCTTTGACAGTTAGGTCTTCTTTTGCCATCTAAGATATTCATGAAGGTATTAATAATTTCCTATCTTTCTGAGGATATTTTGTTTCTATAAAGCCATGGGCTAGGAAGTTAACAATGAAGATATGCAGAAATTATTAGAAGACCATAAAAGTAAGCTATACAAGAAAGAACAACAACTTCAGCAGCGAAAGGCGATTGTGGAAGAAATGAATCAGAAGAAGAAGGAGGGAATGTTATCCTAATTCTTTAATCTGCGAAATTTGTTGAACATGAATAAGCTATAAAATGCCCATCTAGTGATATCATCCTGATAAAGCTGTAGCAAGCGAAAGCATAAGCATTTTTCATGACAAAGCCATGTATCAGGTTAGAAACATTTTAAAATGTTGGTAGCAATAAGTCTCATTGGAAAATTTTGAGCGAAACAGACTTAATGAGTTTTAAGCAGAATCGAGTGATGCTTAGAGACAAAGAAAAGATAAAAGACGATGTCTCGTAAAGACAGCTATCCGGTGTCTTTATTTTGAAACGTATGTAAAACCAATCACATTGGACAAATTTTGAGTGAAATGAAGATTCAACGAGTCTCAAACAGAATCGTATGATGCTTAAACTCCCCCGAGCATGTGCGTGAGGTCTATTTGTAAACCCACCTTCATAAAATGGAATTCTCCTCTTAAACCGTGCTTCACTACAACGTCATTTCTTTAGGAGTTGTAATCAATTAGATCAGTTATCAAATTTTTACTTTATTTGCTAAATATGAAATTTTTAGTTTTTTCATTAGCTAAATACATTACTTTTGGATAATATTTGTCTCACGCGCCTTCTCGTGTGAGTTCAGATTTCTTGAAATCGCGTGCAGAATTTTTCATTGGATTTTCTTATCTTAAAATTTTGCTTTCTAAAAATAAAACGTAGTCGTTTTCGAATAAAAAATTTCACGTAATTAAATTTTATATTAATTTTGATGACTATAATTTAAGATTATTTTAAAGTTGTACGAATAATGAATCATTTATGTATTAAAAAAAGAGAATACCTGCATATTTTAAAACATAAAATCAATGAAATTATAATTTAATTATTTTTTGTACTACTATGTAACAATTCACATAAATTGAGCAATTTCATATACGTATCGATCTTTATGGACAATTATTTGAAAATATGAAACATAAAAAAGTAAGTTTTATGTAGATATACTCCACAATACATATTTCCAGCAGTAATAATTTGAGAAAAAGATATATTGATGGGGAGATCAAATATGTATATCCTAGGCGCGTTCCCGTGTACGAGAATGATGTGCGCCTTCTTCGGGGTTAAATAAAAGGTGATGCCTTCTGTTGTTAACTTGTCCATATTGCATGGAACAATGGTTGCCAGAGATTACTCCGAAGAGAGACTGGACATCTACGGGTGATGCCTTCTAAAGGTAGTTAATTACCTGACTTTTTTTATTCAAGGGGATGCCTCAGACATATGATAGCATTTTTTTCATCATTTTCCACTTATCCAATCTACTCTCCTCCATATAGATAGAGTAAAATTAAATTCACTTTTCTTCTATTTTATCTGCTTAGTATTGTATTTATCTTTTTTGGGGTTTATATTTAATGGTTTCTATTAGTTTTGGATTACGAACGTGTCCACAACGTACACATTTAAAGTTTAAATAAGCAATCATCTTTTCTCGAGGGAACGAATTAGCCCATTTTAAATTAATTCCAATGGGAAAAATTGTTTCGGTTTACGAACATTTCAGTTGACAAATGGAACGAACCAAATTCGTGAACCGAGGTTCCATTGTTCTTATTTGAACTTGATTACTTATTTAACCGAGGTTTCACTGTTATTCGCATCAATGATTTCTGCTACACTGAAAAGAAACCAAGAAGGAGCGATAGCTTAGCTAGAAGGGCCCGCCCTGGGCAGCATATTTTTTGGAGCAACAATTTTCCTCCGAAGCATACACTGAAAAGCTAAAACATTATGTCCACCTACTCAGTAACACGTTGCGCGACCTTTGGCCTGCAAAACAATTGCAAATTGCCTTGGCATTGTTGCCACAAATTCTTTGCAGATGGAGACAGGGTTGTACCAAATATCTAAGTAGCGGTCACGCAAAACAGAGATATTCCGACATGGTGGTGTTTGAGCTCTGAGCTGCCGCTCCATGATCGGGTTAATATCCTGCGAGTTAGGTGGCCAGGACATTAATTGGAATTAGTCCTAATGCTCCTCGAACCACTCCATTACAATTCGAGCCATGTAACATGGGATGTCAACATGCTGGAAGATTCAATTTCTAGTTGGAAAGACAGATGTCATGTGAGGGGGCAATTGATCCGCTGTTGTGTTCAGTTAGACCGCAGCTTTAATGGTCTGTTCTAAAGGTCCCAAAGCCGCCCATTGAGAAGATAATACCGCCACCACCAGCCTGTGTATGACTTGCTGTACACGGGAGAGCAACTGTTCGCCTGGGAAGCAGCGTACCCTGACGTGACCATCGACGTTATGAATGAAAAATCGTGATTCGTTTGACCAGACAACTGTCTTCCACTTATCCATGATCCAGTCTCAATGTTCCTGGTTCCCCACTGTAGACGTAGTTGTCAATGGACACTTGGTCAACAGAGGCATGCGGGTGAGACATCTGCTGCGCAGTCCCATATCCAACAGTGTCCGCTGAACTATGTGTTCCCGTGTACGATAAACTTATCAGCAAGATCATACCTCCGAAACACTTGCACCTGGACCTGCATTGTACTGGGCTGTCAGTTGAGCCACTGTCTGGCGCCTATTTTGTTGTACCAAACGGAACAGTCTCCGACGTCCTTATTATTATTATTATTATTATTGATGACGTCCCTTAGAAGCTCAGCACCTTGAAGCCTACTGCTAGTCTCACCATCATTTATCCACGTTGCATAAATACTAAAAAGGGAAGATCGTGAACAACCTACCAGTTTTGGAGAGACTCGTTTTGAGTCTTTGGGACATTATAATCTGCCCTCTATCAAATTCGCTTAGATCAACAGCATTTGCTATCGCTCGCAAAAGTAAGTGCAAAAATGATTCCTTACCAAGTTCCAAGTTCCGGCGAATATGTCGCGAATATCATGCATTCCGTTTTGCTACATGCTTTGTTCCGGCTTTCTCAAAGTCATGCTTCAAAGAGCGCATCAGGTGGGCGAATGTTGAACGTAGGTTCGGGGGACAGTCTAGTTGGTGCGATTCCTTACCTTCCCCAAGCAGTTAGTTATATACCATTCCCACTTAATCAAGTGCCCTCCACTTCATCCAGACGAGTTTGTTGATGAATGGGGGATGGTCACAACGTTTTGGCTCGTCAGTGTATTATGTAGGGTTAGTCATATGGATTTTAGAAGCAAAGGGATTGCTATTTATTCGGATTATAGTTCACTACGGTTACGTGTCTTAGGAGCGGAATATCTTCGTGGAATCTAACATTATATACGAAGGCGTAAAAAAAAATGGGCACTGGCTCATGTTCATGTTACGAAAGGCGCACTGACTCGTATTCACATCATGCTTGAGTGATGTTATAATGTTATTTACCTTACTATGTTATTTACCTTACGTTACACGTAACGTAAATCACATAAGACATCCAGCCTGTTGTTTCGGATTTGAATCGGGCCGAATTACCGGTATTCAGACATTTTATTTACCTAGTCATTGGTAAGTTGTGATACTGATAATTGTGATACGAAATTAAATTATGATCTTAGTGATGTAAATACGGAAGAGTTCTTCACTGACTTCAGAATTTTATTTCTGTTTTTGCTTGGGATGACGAAAGCGAGAGCTGGGAGGGCAGTCGCTATGAAATTTTACAGTTTATTCTAAAATAGTTCAAAACGGAATTCCAAATATTGTAGTTCTGCTTCGAATTTTTCTCACTATTGCTGTGAGTATTACTGGCTGTAAGAGAAGTTTTTTCCAGATAAAAATCACTTCAGAAGCACCAGAGACAAAAATTGAGTATCTATTGTGAGAAGTGTGTTATTCCACATAAACTAAACTAGATCCTACAATGCACGTGGCGAATTCTCGCACCACGAATAAATTACCAGCACAGAAGAAGAGTGAAAGTAACCTTTTATTCAATTCAAATAATTAACAGAATGGCACGATCTTCGTGCTCTACAATGGCACCGTCAACTTGCGGTGAAACTGAAACGTAGAATAATTGAAGTCAAAATCTAAAATAAAGTAGTGCTGGATTAGCTCGATAAATTACGTCTAACAGGTTGACTCACAGAAACCTAACAGGCGTGATGATAATCCGCAATGGCGTACTAGCGTAACTGCGAAATAGCAACGAAACGTGCGCTGGCTAGCGAAAACACGCTCTTAATAAACGCAGAGGTTCACTCGTTTAAATACTCACTTCACTAAACTTTAAATTTACATCCTGGCGAAAAATGTGAAGGGAAGTTCAGTAAAGGTATCAAACTTAAAATAAATTTGTTATGCAAAATAAGGGAAACCCTACACTATTACTTAATACATACAACTCTAGAAAAGAGCTACTGGAGTGATTAAAAAGTTCTAGAATGTCATCGAGCATTTTGCTAACTGAAAAACAAGCAAAAGAGCATTTTAAAATGTTGAAATTAAAGCATTATTTCGAAAATTAACACAGAGCTTTCATATGTTACCTTTGTGTCGTTCTGACATTTTATAGACTTACTTTTTCTTGGTTAGCATTAAGAGGGGCGGAAATGGACCGTCCCGGTCGGCAAATGCTCTAGCCACGCCACTGCCACTGAGAAGGAAAGGTACTCATAACAGATTTTATGACTCAAACGACTATGATTAACAGACTCAAACGACTAGTACTATATGAGCCTGTGATAAAAGCCAAGAAATGTTTGAGATTGTGTGTGCCTTCCTGATGTGCCTATCAGATTATTCTTGATGTGTTGCTCTGATTCTCGACGTGGCCAGTGGCCTTGATTCTCTCCAGCGTAGTGCGGCGATATGATGTATTGAATCCTGATATGAGACGTACCTGTTGAAGACTAGAATGGGAATAGAAGTTTAGGGAAGTATCCCAAACTGCAATTACTATGAAGTTACGCATGGAACTGCAGCCAAGAACTAATGTAATGGTCAAGTAGACCCTACTTACGTAACGCAGTAGCTTACACCAGCCAAATTAATCACCTATTATTCATCATGTTATGTTTTCCTCTCTGTTTATGTATTCTGTAAGCTCAAGGAAAGCAACCATTAAAGTTTATGTTTCACTTGCATCAAGTATAGGTAGGCAACTTTGGTAGGCAACCACGGCTTTCTACTATGTGTTATTCTCAACACTGAAAAGCAAACAACATCAATATTATTATTACTGTTTATGTATGTTTTGACAAATATTTATTGAGCGAAATTTTAAATTGTTTAAAATCTTTTTTTATTTTTTTAATAAAAATTTTCATTTTTTTTTAAATCTGGCTCATCAGGTGTTTTAAGATCGTGCATTCACCCCGCGTTTTGAGTTTGGGGCTACTGCATTTTAATACCCCAAAGTGCTACAAGAGTGGAAGGATTAGGAGGAAAGTAGCATGTATCGTACTCATCTCTGAGTGAGATTTAATATGTTTGGGAGTCACTGACATAGAATTTCGTTCACTTTTAGCACGTGACCTTTTGTACCTGGGGAAACAGTCCTTCAATGCCGGCTACTACGCCCACGCCATTCGCTGGTTGGAGGAGGCCCTCAGCCAGGCTCATCTCGAGGGTAACAGAACAGCAAGCGTAGCTGAAATCAATGCTTTTTATCAGTCGGCGATAGAAATGGTAAGAAGATTCTTTTCATTGATTCTTGATATTTTGTTAATTATAGCATTTAGATAGATATTCCGGTGGCATTACCAAATTAAGTGCTGTTATAAATGTAATAAATCCTCAACCACTGCTGACAAACTGTATCAGAATCCACTGACAAAGGCTGGTTCTGTTTTCATTATTATTTATATTAAGAATTAAAAAAATTAATCAGATCATTCTTGTTGGCAATGCATAATAGTTGGGAGTGCCTTAGCTGTAAAAAAAGATTGGGATGAAAATGGTGCGATGCGCTGATGGGACGACTCAATGTAAGGATTGGTAGCTGACTAGTTTGCGTTTTGGTTAACTTGCGTATTACTTACTGCATATAGAACTAAAGTACATTTATTATAAAATGTACGACAAGCTATTTCAACAATACAATAATGACAATTAACTGTTAGCAATAAAGAAATAGAAACAATCATTCGTAAATAAAATTATTGTCGTTATTATGTGACAATCTTGCTAGCGGCAACAGTCTCTGTAGTCGCGGGTTTAAGATCATTCTGAGTTCATGCTTTGTCTGAAACAATTCACACACTGACTTAACCTTTTTATTTTTCGGTTGTGTTTTACTTCATCTGATTCGCTATAGTCGAAGACGATACCGGTAGAGCTAAAGAGTCATTGGTTCTTCGGTCGCATTCCAGAGGACTTGATGACAGACGCAATGCAGATCGCTAAAATCCTGGACACTGGTCGGTGAAGCTATGATTCTTTTAATGACAAGTCAAGGCGTTAATAAACAAATTAATTCCTTCTGCAATGTCAAAGCATGTCGTCTCACAACTCGTAACAGATCGGGGACTTTATGAGACCGTACATATAAATTTTTATCTTTGTGTGGTCCGCAGTAAGATCTTTTTACGTTAGATGATTCACATATGACATTTCTTCTGTATGTTGAAACTAGGACTTCTGGTAATCAGAAAACATTGAAGATCTCGGCTTTTCATTGCGAAATATTTAATGTGCATGCTCATTGTTTTCAAATTTCATCGATGGAAAAAGATTTCCAAAGACAGAGGTATTTCCCCTTTTAAAATAATTTTTCAAAATGCCAGTCTTCATCTGTATGTTGGAAAAGGAACCATCTTGCGAACACCAGAAGTTACTTTTAAAGTATATTTTTATAATTTATTCTGTATGTAGTCTATATGTTGTACTGTTATGTCTTGTATGTTACTTGTCGTATTAAAACAACCACCTTGGCGCGAACTGGCGGTTTTTTACACATGAACAGGTAAAAGTTACTTATTTGATGCAAGCTGGCTTCACGACTTTTTTTTTTTTTTTTTTTTTTTTTTTTGAAAAACGTCCTCAGAATAAAGATATTTATCGTAAGTCGGCAAGCATTATCGACATATCAAATGAAAAATTCTTTAAAAAATTTTAAATATAAATTTTAATTATTAAATATGAATTATACGATACTTTAAGAAATAATATTATTTCGAAATGCTTCTCTTTTTTTTAGCGCTGTTCTTCTTTCCATGTACTCAGCGACCTGTTTCTACTATAAAAAAAAGCCAGAGATTTTCACGAACTTGTCACTGTGCACCGGCTACCTACCAAATGTATCTCATCATTGTTCCCTTTAGCAATTTTGCTCAAAATATGGTATTCCTGCAGAAATTTTATTGCAGTTCCTTCCATTGTTGGTATGGCGATTTTAGGTGAATTTGGGTTTACTCACCAACCACGTACCCGTATCTCTAACTGTAACCGCAACGAGGATTGGAACAAAAGTGGTCTCGGTTGGTCAATATTTTTCATGCTGCACGTTTATTATCTATGTTAATTTAGTATGTGATAGTTACGTTATAATTATCTGTCTTGTTATTTAAAATTAAGCTATTGCTTCAAGTGTCTAGTTGATTATGCAAAAAATCTAGCCATGCCTCTACATACATTTATTGTAGCACTTAGTACAGTACTGTGCTACAGATGGTGACCTATCCACGTGCTTAATCGAAATGAATCAAAGAAGTTTACAGTTTAAGAGCAGAATTTTTTATGAGAATGTGTGAAATGCATCTCAATCAATATTTTTTTATTATTATGCGTAGTGGATTGCTTTAATGTATTCGTCAGTGATTATGTCTCACACGTAATCTTATTATCGCATGTCTGTAAAATGTGCGAGAGGATAATTGGGCACAGTATTGCGATATTTTGCCTTTTTTTAAAATGTCTTTCAGGGGAGTCAGACCTTGCAATGACAGTTTTAAATTGGCTCAGTTAACCTGCACCAATAAGTAGTGTATGCTCAAAAAAAAAAAAAAAAAAAAAATGGGACAGTCCTATATCTCCCGATCTACTGGGCCGATTGACAAAATTCAAATTGCGTTCTTCATGTCTCGAAAGCGCGACTTAGGATATATATTAGATTTATATATATAGCACTATTCTAACATAGGTATTTTGACACAAAATCGGACTTTTTCTGAAATAACATACCAATTTTTTTACATATTTCGATTCTACGACTCAAATTACGCCTAAATATGAAATTTTGTAAAATTTGGAGCGAAATTTACGGAGAAATTCACAAATTTATGTTGGCACTTTTTTGTCAGTTTGCGCCAAGAATACTTCACTTGGCGAACTTCTTAATATATGGCAACCTAGTTTCCTTTCCCGTGAGAGGAAAAAAAGTCACCATCGTTCCTTTTTTCCAAATAATATTCTTTATATTATATTTTTAATTATAACTTATTATTTTAAGTAATTTTTTCTTTTTCGAATTTCATTTTAATTGTTTAAGTTGTTTTTTTTTTTTTTTTTTTTTTTTTTTTTTTTCGAATAACTGTTTTAAAAATTTCTATTTACCTATTCGAACTGCGTAAATAAAGGTGCAGCGCGTTTATTTTTTTTTTCAAATAGTTTTCTTTATATATATTTTTCGTCATAGTTATTATTTTAGGTAATTTTTAAATTTTTATACTTTTATTTTAATTGTTTGTGTTGCATTGTCTCTTCAGATAATTGTTTTAAAATTTTCTATTTATTCCTTCGAACTGAGCATTTTAAATATATTTATTAATATCAATTTTCCAGAATTTGATTTTATTTATTTGAACTGCGTTTCTTTCGGAAGAATACTTTGTAACCCAGACTACGATGCGTTTGAAAACTGCATACTATATTAAAAGAGAAAATACAGTAAAGCACAGTTTTACACGCCTTTCAATGTTCCGTTCAGAAAAGATATATATAAATAAGAGAGATGTATAACCGACATTTTAACTTAGGATGACTTGCATACACTGCTTTAAACAGTTTTATCATTGTGCCCATTGCTTTACACAATTTTATCCTACATTTGGTTTCTTAAAATGTTATTCATATTTTAGTCAAATATTTTATTTTTGAAATCGCAAGAATCAAATATCATAAGATTGAAAAGTTTTAAATTAAAAAAAATACAAATACTAAATTTTACGAAAAAATTTATTTTTCTTCTCTTTTCTTTAAGCATTCTGAAAGTATATTGAAAAGTATCCAACTTTTCGAAACATTTTGGTATTTCTGACAATCATTTTAAATAAAGTTATCGCCTTCCATTTCATAAAGGCCCACAAACGGCCGAGCGGTAAAGTTGCTGAACACTGGTAGTTCACTCCGGGGTTCGAACCCCGGTAAACGGGCTGGTTGCATGGGCGTTTTCGTGGATTTTCTCATGTGTACCGCGTATGACAGCTGGTTTCCCTTAGAAAGTTCTTCACGAAGTATTTCGTCAGAGCCTTTATCAGTCTTTAGAGGCTAAACATTTTGAAGGTATGAGATGAAAGGAAAGACTGGTTTCATCAAAAGGTTTTGGTTTATTTAATTATGACAAAGCACACTACGGCTATCTGCCTAGGGGAGGGATGCCTTCGTGGAGGACTTTCTAAGGGAAACTGGCTCGCATACACGTTACACATGGGGAAAACCACGAAAACGCCCATGCAGCCAGCCCGTTCGCGGGATTCGAACCTCGGACCGAACTACCAGTGTTCAGCGACTTTACCGCTCGGCCGCTGCTGTTTCATCAGGAAGGAAAAAAAAAAAATCTTTAGGTGACATCCACATACATCACTGGATAAACTCCTGAATCTTCAAATAATTCGACTGAGAAAATCATGGGATTCTCCATTTATGATACGATATGATGTTCTATAACGTAATTTACACAACCATATAGTTTAAAACCAGTCGCTCTTCACTTTAATCTGCAATGATATCGTTTTGTCTTTTCTGTTAACACAAGCTCAATTGATGGTATTTGCTGGTGTACACGTCCAAGTGTTTTCTCTTTGAACACCTAAATTCTTTGAAGTATCCTGAAAGTATATTCGAAAGCGTCCAACTTTTTGAAACATCTTGGTATGTCTGACAGCCAAATTTCCCTGCAAATTTTTGCTTACTTTTCTCCCTAATTTTCTTCTTTCCTTCTACAGTTATTTTCAGTGCTCACACAAGAAAATTAAGATTTTTCGATTGCTAGACTTCCATACATTTTGCATTCTTGTCAATTTTTTAAAATATCAATTACATGAATTGCGTTTCAGCTAAAGACAGCTTTTCATTTTCTAGTCATTTTAACTATAAATAAAGTTTAAAGCGAAGTCCAAAGGATAAATATTTTAATTAAAAGATTTTTGCTAAATGACAAAGAAATAAAACAGTCCAGCAGGGTTTATTCTGTACCACCGAGTAACCCGATTCTTATATCGGCTGAAACAATCTAAATCATATTAAAGATCATGTTTTTTTATACAATCTATAACGCGAGAGAAAAATTAGCTTCTTAAAACATTCTTTCTAAGAGAATTAATATAAAAGATTATATTTATATATATATTTTTTAAAGCTGGGACTTGAACCAAACTGTCAAACTTTTAAAGTTTAATTTACATGGTGGTTATAATTAAAGTTCCACTTTGAAATGGTCATAAAAGGAAAACTACCGGACCAAATGTTAT